AGTAAAGAATAAAGCACACTAAGACTGGTACAGGAACCAAGGCACAGAACCAAGACTCCCATATGTGGTGGTTTTTTATTGGGAGATATATCTTGGCTGCAAAGTCCTCCCATGAGGAGCAAGGAGTCCCAGCCCCACACCAAACCCCCAGCCCAGAGTTCCAGAGCTAGGAAGATAAGTCCCCTTACCTGGGGTCTGTAAAATCCAGTGGGTATTGTGGCTGATGACACAGAAATTGCTGGAGATCCAGGCAGTTCAACTCAATGGGCCGGCACATGAACTTATTCAAAAACACTCATTCTATGCTCCAGCCTTGGGACAACAAGGGGAGGATCCAGGGACATACTGGGAGGCACTGGTTTGTCTGGAATTGGAACAAGAACTCGGGAGATGGCTTTCTCCCAGCAGGGGTGCTCACAGGGTTCAATGTTCCTATGCAGAGACCTCCCACATTATAGAGCTGAGTTTACATCAGCCTGGTTCAAACTGTTTGCTTCCCCCTGGTGATTCCCTGAAATCTTGTCCCATCCAAATTGTATCCCCACTCAAACTGTTTGTATACGAACAACCTATTCTGGCTTAGGCCTCAGTCTTTCCTAAAATCTCTCAAACAAGCAGCCGCTGGTGTCAGCAAGACCCAGCATGAAAAGTAGTCTTCACAGCTTAGTAGTCTTTCTTGGGCACTTCCAAGTAGTAGCCATCTGTAGATTGTGCTATAGCCCCTGCCAGAGCTACAGACAAAGTGGCTGACTTTGCACCTCCCAGAAGGCCCCAGAGCCAATGCACCTGATGGATAGCCTCAGACCATAGCAGATTACAACTTTATGTTTCCATGAGTGACACACTCAAGGGGCATACTCAGTGAGTACCAAATCCCTACTGAAGCAAGTCCTACTCCATAGGGTATTTCCTACACTGCAGCTCTCCCATTGTACTCACAACTAGTTCTCCCAGCCAATTGGCCTGGAGGCCATTTCCTCCCAGTGATGCCAACAGCGGTCAAGTCTCAACTACAACAAGACTACATACAGCCCACACAGGGGCACACCGAGAGTTCAGGTGACTGGGGAAGCTGAGTCGCTGGGCCTTACAGAACATCTACTACACTCTACCAATTCCTGGAGACATAGTAGTTCTACCTAATACACAGAAACAAACACAGGGAAGCAGCCAAAATGTGTACACAAAGAAACATGTCACAAATGAAAGAATAGAAGTATATATATATATATATATATATATATATATGCTAAATAAATGGAAGCAAGGACATTACTAGATGCATAATTCAAAACAATGTTGATAAGGTTGCTCAAGGATCTTAATAAGAGTTCAAGGGTCTTGGTGAGACTTTCAAGGATTTCAGTGAGAATGTCAAAGACATGAAAAAGGACCAGTCAGATATTAAGCATACACTAACTGAAATTATTTATAGGGATTCAATAGTATAGTAGAGGATTCTGAGAATAAAATCAATTACTTGGATATGAGAAAGCAAATAACATCCAATCAGAAGAGGAAAAAATCCAAAAATATGAAGGTAGTGCAAGGATCATCTGGGACAACTTCAAGCATACCAACATTTGCATCATGGGGGTGCCAGAAGGAGAGAGAGAGAGAGAGAGAGAGAGAGAGAGAGAGAGAGAGAGAGAGAGAGAGAGAGAGAAAGAGAGAGAGAGAGAGAGAGAGAGAGAGATAGTGAAAAACTATTTGAGGAAATAATGACAGAAAACTTCTCCAACCTGGTGAAAGAAATAGATTTAAAAGTCTAGGAAGCACAAAGATTCCCAATCAAGAGGAATCAAAAGAGGCCGACACCAAGACACATCATAATTAAAATGCCAAGGTTTAAAGATAAAATCTAAAAGCAGCAAGAGAAAAGAAGTTAGTAAGGAAGAGGAGGAGGAGGAGGAGGAAGAAAAGGAGGAGAAAGAAGAAAAGGAGAAAGAGGAGGAGGAGGAGGAGGAGGAAGAGGATGAGGAAGAGGATAAAAGAATATGAACAATAAAATGGCAATAAATACATATGTATCAATAATTGAATCTAGCCAAAATTGGTTTGGCTCAGTGGATAGAGCGTTGGCCTACAGACTGAAAGGTCCCAGGTTCGATTTCAGTCAGGGGCATGTGCCTTGGATGTAGGCACATCCCCGGTGGGGGGGGGGGGGTGTGTGCGGAGGGCAGCTGATCTATGTTTCTAACTCTCTATCCCTCTTCCTTCATCTCTGTAAAAAATCAATAAAAAAATATTTTTTTAAAAAATAATTGAATCTAAAAATTAAAATAAATGAACAAGGAATCTAATGAACAAAATAAATGGATGAATAAAATAGAACCAGAGGCATGGAAACATTGGACATGGGACAGATTGATGAATCTCAGAAGGAGTGGGGGCAATGGGAAGAGATTAATTAAATAACATATATGCATGTATGCACTACCTATGGACACAAACAATAGTGTAGTGATGACCTGGGGTGAGGTGGGAACCAGGTGAAGTGGGACAATGGGGAGAAAACTGGGGACATCTGTAATACTCTCAACAATACAAATTTTTTAAGTAAATAAAATCTCCAAACTATAATAAGCAATCTATAATGCAAAGTAATTCCGATCAAGTTACCAATGGCAAATTTCACAGAACTAGAATATTCTAAAAATGAATATAGAACCATAAAAGACCCTGAATAGCCACAGATTCTTGAGAAAGAACAAAGTTAGAGGAATCGTATTCCTAATATCAAACTATGAAAACCTATGAAAATCTACAAAGCTATGAAAATCAAAACAACATGTTAACTGACATAAAAACAGACATAGAGATCTATGGAACAGAACAGAGAACCCAGAAGTATACCAATGCAATTATGGTCAATTAAAATGTGACAAAGGGGGCAAGAACATACAATGGAATAAAGACAGCCTATTCAATAAATGGTGTTGGAAAACTGAACAGATAGTTGCAAATAAAGGAAACTAGACCACCTTTTTACACCCTACACAAGAATAAACTCAAAATGGATTAAAGGTTTAAATGTTAGACTCAAAACCATAAAAATTCTACAAGAAAATATAGGCATTAAAATCTCAGACATTTCTTATAGCAAAGTTTTTTTCTAATATATCTTCTCTGACAAAGGTAATGATGGGAAAAATAAACAAATGGGACTACATCAAACTAAAAAGTTTTTGCACAGCAAAGGTAGCCACCAACAAAATGAAAATGGAACCCACTGAATGGGAAAAATATTATCCAATGATACATTTGATAAGAGGTTAATATCTAAAACTTATAAAGAACTTAACAAACAATATAATTTAAAAAATGGACATAAGACCTGAAAAGACACTTCTCTGAAGAGAACGTACAGATGGCCAATACACATGAAAATATGCTCAAGGTCATTAATCACGAGAGAAATGCAAATTAGAACCACAATGAAATGTCTCCTCATATCTGTCAGAATGGCTACCTTCAGTAAATCAACAAGCAATAAAGGATGCAGTGAAAAGGGAACCCTAGTGCACTGTCAGTGGAAATGCAAATTGGCGCGGCCAATGTGGAAAACAGTATGCATTACCTCAAAATATAAAAATGTAACTACCTATGACTCATTTAAAAAATATATGCACCCCTATGTTCACTGCAGCATTATTTACAGTTGCCAAGATTTGGAAGCAGTAGATGAATGGCTAAAAAAGATACAGCTGGAGTGGCTCAGTGGTTGAGCATTGACTTCTGAAGCGAAAGGTCACAGTTCAATTCCCAGGGAGGTCACATGCCTGTGTTGTGTGGTCAATCCCCTGTGAGGGGCATTCAGGAGGCGAGCTGATCAATGATTCTCTCTCAGCATTGATGTTCCTATCTCTCTCTCCTTCTCCCTTTCTCTCTGAAATTAATAAAAATATATATATTTAGTATATTTACATATTCAACCACAAAAAAGAAGAAAAATTTACCCTTTGAAGCTATATTGATGGACCTGGAGAGTATTATGCTAAGTGAAATATGTCAGTCAGAGAAAGACAAGTACCATATGACCTCACTTATATGTGGAAACTAGTGAAAAAAAACTGAAACAAAATAGAAACAGAGGCATGGATACATGGAACAGACTGACAGCTGTCAGAGAGGAAGGGTTTGGGAGACTGAGTGATAAAGGTGAAGAGATCAAGCAAAAAATAACTCAAAAATTATTTTAAATAATCAAACTCATAATGAAATCGAATATTTATTTTAATTTCTCCAACATATAAGAAAAACAAAACAAGTTGTGAGATTTTGTTTTTCAAAAATTGAAAAGTTGGGTTCTGTATTTAATGGCAACAAGTGGGACATCCATTTTTAAATTACCATTCAAAAAGTAGTATTTTAAGAAATATATACTATGATTAACATGATGTGTTTTATAGAATGGATACATATCTGAATGCCAATGTGAATATGGAAGAATTATATGTATTAAAAACACACTGGGAAACCAAATGTTCTTTTTTTTATAAAAAGTAGCTTGCAATAAAAAGGAACTTGCTAGTGAACTGAATAAACTTTCACACATGGGATTTTTCTTTTAAAAATCCCCACCCACCCCACCCCACACACAAAAAGTGGTCAATTTTAATAGTGCCATTTCATGACAGGTCATTTCTGTACAATGTGGAAGACAGTTATGCAGTCAATGGTCACTTCATAAAGTGCATCTTTTGAAGACTTGTCTAGTAAAATTGCAATATCAAATATATAAAGTACTTAACATAAGACATGCAACAACAAAGCTAACTCATTTAAAGTTTTTAAAACTACTTTTAAAACTTTTGATTCACCAAAAAATAGAGATGTCAAATACAGTAGCATTCTCATTCTCCAACAGTGTGCATTGTATGCTTTTGTTATTTGGTAAATCTTTTGGTATGGAACAAAATTAATGCAGTCTAACAATATTTCTTCTGGCTGTCACTGTAACACGATTCCTCAGGCAGAACAGTTAGGTGCAGAGCAGGTTAGATTTTTGGAAGTTTTGGTGCATTAACCACAGGATTTGCCTCCTGCAAGTATCTCCTCCCTGCACTCTTGTAATCATAGGTGCAGCCATGAGTTTCTGCATAGCGATGAGATGCACAGAAGTTGTTTCCACATCTAAAGCACAAGAAAGTTCACATAAATAGTAATATTTTCATTAGGGGCTCCTCTCTGGGAGATCAGAGCTTGACTTCAGGCAGCCCAACAGGAGCCCTGTGGTTCTCTTGAGCAATTTCAGCAAGGGCGTTTCCCTTCCCCTCTGAACAAGCAAAAGCACCCCCTCCCCAAGGAACAAGTTAATTGTCTATAATTATGAGAGTTTAAAATAAAGAATCCATGATGAAAGAACTATAAGTTCTGAGAAATTTTTCTAATAAAAAATTAAATTATGTAAAAGCTAACTAAACCATGAATGGATTTAAAAAAATATTTCTAGCAATAAGCTGTTCCCATTTGAATAAAATACACTCTAAAAAGCAGCAGTTATTTTTAATATCTGGCCTCAACCTAAGGGCAGACACTATCCTTGAAGCATATTAATCTATGCTAATGAAAGAAATAATAATGGATATAAAAAATTTATTAATTTTTATAAATGTATTATTCATCTGTAAATATATTCATGCTTTTAAAATAAAAGCATACCATATAATTGTTAAAATTTATACTACACTAATTTTAAATTTAGGCTTTCTTATTAAGTTTAAAATAGAATATTAGAGGAGGGATTCTTCCAAGCTATATTAAAACAAAAAAAATTTAAATATATCTATTATAAAACAAAAGAAGTGTACTCTCCCATTGGTTTAAACCTCCTAATTTAAAGGGCAGGGCAGGATCTTGTGAGTTTGGAAATTCATGCTGCAGCCAATTAGAAGGAGGAAAACTGAAGGCTGCCATACGAACATCACCTTTATGATGTTCTGAATAACCAACTGAAAGAGCATTTTACATTGTATTCCCAAGTTGGGCTGTCACAAAGAAAGCAGCTCAACTTTTTCAGCTAGCCAACCTGCCTGCATTCGTAGCTAGTAGCCAGTCCAGTTTTCTTCCCACAAAGAAAACAATGTTTTGCTGTTTTCTTCTTTGTTTGAATAGGGGCTTGCACAGGTGGGAGAAGATGAGTACATTCTCCTGTGTAGAGAAAGCAAACCTTGATTAATATAGGCATAAAATTCTAAAGGTGAGATACTATTTAAGCAAAACACAAGCAAACTTTTATTTCATAAAATTAATTTGTACTATTTTTTTTTAAATGTATATTTTATTGATTTTGTACAGAAAGGAAGGGAGAGAGATAGAGAGCTAGAAACATCGATGAGGGAGAGTCATCGATCAGCTGCCTCTTGCACACCCCCTACTGGGGATATGCCCGCAACCAAGGTACATGCCCTTGACCGGAATCAAACCCGGGTCCCTCAGTCCCCAAGCCGACGCTCTATCCATTGAGCCAAACCAGTCTCGGCAATTTGTACTATTTTTATATCTAAAATTATTTACAGAATCTGTAAGTGAAGATGCAGTAGAACTGTTATATGTTTAAGATGTGATAGGTTCCAACTAACTGTGACTCATTTTTTTAGAATGTTTGTACACACCAACACATTAGTGATTATTTCTAAGGACAATAAACATATACGAAGTTCACTAAATTTTGACAGTGAATCAAGAAAAATCTCTGATTCAAAATCATTTTTATGAGGCCTCTGAAAACAATGTAGTATGTAGTATAGTCACCCTGTTTTTTTCACACCAAGAAGGAACAGCAGTCCCATAAAATTGATCTTTTACTCATAATTATGCCATAGAAATCAAGTTCATCAAGCAAGTTACTTATTCTTTCAAAACTTCAATTTGTTCATTTTTAAGATACCAGAACATCTATTTTTCTCTCTAGATTTCTAAGTGCTTTAAGGTCAACTCAGTTCTAATATATAAAGAGCATTCTAGAAATTTTAAACATTATAATTACAAAAAATATATTAGTATTAGTTACTAATATGGTCGATTTCACAGTACAACCTTCTCAAAAAATTTTACTGGATTCTGTACTATTGTAACAACTTAATTTTTCACCGTAAAAATAAGAACGCATCTGTTATGATATAAGAAAGAATAAATCTATTTCTTTAATAACTAGTGGAATGCTTTTAGAACTGAGCAAATTTCCAACAAACCCCTCCTAAGAAAGGTTCAAACTCACGTCCATAGTTGCTGCAACAATGCACATACATAGTGCTTGGTAGCACTCAAAGTTCAAGAAGCAAGAGGCAAAGAAAACAAAAACAAGGGGAAGTAATGAGAAGAAAAATTTCTGTCAATGGACAGGTACCTATTTTGCATGTGCTTCTGAGAAAGGTTTGGTAGGCCTGGGCTTAATGTTTATCTGGCAGCTAAACGTCTCTAAAATTTCTTCAAGATTTCAAAAAAATTAGATTTACAAACACACCTTTTCTCACAACCTGGATTGGGTGCTGGGTATACCAGCCCAACAAAATCACGTCTGCTCTATTACCAGTCTAAAATACATGCCCAGATCTTGCCTCAAACTGGAAACATTTGAAACAACTATCTGAATGATTCTAATAATGCTGGGCACCCACTCAGTTAGCATTCACTTTTTCTTCAAGTGCACTTAAAGGACATTTCACACAGGTGATGGGACACTTTCTGCTTCTTAAAAAATAAAAATAAGATACACATTTTCACACACACAAAGGAAAGGCACATACCACTGGATAGCCTGTATAAGCTCATCTAATGGCACGGATCCCTGAAATTCAGGTTTAAAATAGTCTTCCCTAAACGAAGTAAAAAAAATCTATTGATGATAGCTTAGTTCAGTGGATTCATACTTTCATTTTTTTTTTCTTTTGTTAAGGGTGCTTAACTCAATGTTTCCCAAACTTTTTTCATTCAAGAACTCTTGTGAATGTACTAAGACAGAGAACATCATAGTGTCAGGAATGAAGCAGCACCAAAACATAAGTGCAATCTTCTATGAGAACAGTTTCCATATGCCTTTCCACACACCAGAGAAAACCACCCTTTAGTCATCTAATCAAGGCTCATATATAGGTTTCATACAACAAATTGGGGGGGGGGGGGAAGGGAGTCAAATTCCTTGGACTGGCATTCAAACTCTAGGATGTCCTAACTTTCCAGTCATTTATCACATCATATCCTCTCTGGTGCACCAGACACCTTATAGGCACAGTCCCTTCTAAAATGCTCTACTCTACTTTGCCAATCTAAGAAAACTGACTTATCCTATAAGAAGAGATCAACCATCAACTCCTCCCTGAAGCTTCCTCTCAAGTGTGTGTTGTACAAATCTTTAAAAAGTCAATAAAGTAATGTCGATGTGAAGAATTGCTTTTGAGAAAAACGATTAAATATATTTGGATTAACTCACTTGTCTGTCGTTTCCAGGTCTAATATTTTACCTAGCACAATGATCCATAAAAAATTCACCCAACAGAAAATGCAGCCAACAAAGTAATAGAGTAGAGCTCAAGATGCAAGTTTGGCAGATAATCTATGATTATCTGCCTAAAATGATAACTAAAGCAATAAAGAGGAATAAAATTTCCAAGGGAAACCCTATGGTGAAAAGCAAAGAGGACCAAAGAAGAACTTAGTAGGTCAATTAAATAAAACACCAAAACTTTCATAGGTTCTTGTAGGTAATTCAGAATGACACCGTTATTACTGAAGGAAATGGCAGCAAATTACAGAGCTCTAGTTGTAGGAAGCAACAGAGTATATACCAGAGGGTTGGTAAAACAAGTACAACAGAAATATGAGGTTAAAATAAAAATTTACAACAATGTGATAAACCAGAATGAGAGAGGAAAAAAGAGAGTTTGAGAAAGAGACAAAAAACAAACAAACAAAAAAACAACAACAACAACAAAATACCCATTTCAAGAAGGATGGCCACAGCCTTGGCTGGAGTGAATGTTATTCTGTGCATAAATGTTGTGGGTTTAGTCCCTAGTCAGGAGGCCTACAGGAGGCAACCAATTGATGTATCTTTCTCACACATCTTTTTCTCTTTCTCCCTCTCCCTTCCTCTCTCTTTAAAAAATAAGTAAAAACCTATTTTTTAACAAAAAAAAGGATGACCACAACAATCAGGATAAAGATACAAAGGCATCCACTGGATTTTAGTGACCTTTGGTAACCTCAGCAACAGCAGTTTCAGAGGAGCAGTGAGGAGAGAAATGAGGAGAGCACTGAGGCCTGACTTAAGGGAGAAGAAATAAGTGAAACACAAAAGGCCAAGTTGTGGATTAGGACAGGACATGAATATGGATCAAGGAAAAATAAGTATAACATTAAAAGTGAATCAAATAATCAAAACAGTGTGGTACTGGCATAGACAGTCATATAGATCAATGGAACACAATTAGAGAATCCAGAAATAAACCCTCACTTATACAGTCAAATAGTTTTTGATAAGTGTGTCGATACCATTCAATGGGAAAAGAATAGTCTTTTTAATTTAACAAATGGTCTGGTAAAAGTGAATATACACATGGAAACAAGTAAAATTAGACCAATACATTATAATGTATGAAACATTTATTAAAAAATATAGCTAAGGAGATATATACTTGCAGAAAACAAGATGGCGGCATAGGGTAAATACCCGAATGCAGCCTACCACAACAAATTTGAATTTAGAACTGAAAAACAGGGGAAACATCACCCTGAAGCGCTGGACGGCTGGCTGAGAGGAGGCTCTACCATCTGGGAAGGAGAAAGAAGGTGTGATGAACCTCAGGAACTGTGAAGGTGAGGTGAACTGTGCGCGTGAAAAGGCAGCCAAAGCGTTCGCTGCCGGCTTGTTTGCGGAGCACGGAGAGGGCGGGCTGAGTTCGCTACTGGCTTACTCCCTCCGTGCGCGCATTGAGGTTGGACAGCTAATGAGCGGCTAGCTTTCTTGTTCGGGAGGAAAACAGAACCACCCTATTGCGCTGACAGACGGCCCCAGACAGGGAGAGGCCAGACTATCAGGCAGTGGGCAGAGATCTCTCGGAGGTGTGTGAAGCCAGCAGCCATTACTGCAGTTTCCTCTTTATTGCTTTAGTTATCATTTTAGGCAGATGATTACCAAACTTGCATCCATTACTCAGAAAACAGACCCTCATAGGAAGGGGCTGAATAAAGCTTGTCTGCACCACCTAAGACCCCGCCCCATCCAAGCAGAGCACAGAAGCCCTTCCAGGGGCTAGCTTCCTCGTTTGCTGCCAATAGGACTCTCCTAGGGAGGGGCAGACAGGAATCTAAAGCTTGTTTGCAACCAATTGTGCGGGATTCAACAAAACTTGTCTGTGCCATCCCAAGACTCCGCCCCATTCAAGTGGAATACAGAAACCCTCCTAACTGAGACATTTCCGATCCTCATAGCCAATTGGCTTGGAGGTCAATACTTCCAACAATAAGCAAGGCTTAACAACAAGACTGAACACACAGCCCACAAAGGGCTACACCAAGACTGTCCACCTCAGGTAACTGGGAGGACCCACTGAACCATATAGGACACCTTAGCACACAAAGCCACACTACCAACTCAGGGAAGCTGTGAAAATGCCGAGACAAGGAAACAGTTCACAAACAAAAGAAATGGAGGAAAAGAAGCAACTGGACATAGAGTTCAAAACCACGCTTATAAGGTTTTTCAAGAATTTCCTACAAAAGGTTGATAAGACCTATGAGAATATGAAAAGGGATCAACTAGAAATAATAAGGGATCAACAAGAAATAATAAGGGATCAACAAGAAATAAAGAATACATTATCTGAAATAAAAAATATACAGAGTCCTAAAAACAGAATGGAAGATCGCAAGAATCAAGTCAAAGAGTTGGAACATAAAGAGCCAGAAGACACTCCTCCGAAAAAGCAAGAAGACAAGAGAATACAGAAAATTGAAGATAATGTAAGAAACCTCTGAGACAACTTCAAGCAAACCAACATCAGAATTATGGTGGTCCCAGAAGATGAGGGAGAGCAAGATATCGAAAACATACTGGAAGAAATAGTGACAGAAAACTTCCCCCACCTGGTGATAGAATTAGACTTACAAGTCCAGAAATCGCACAGAACTCCAAACAAAAGGAATCCAAA